GATGACGGAGGCAGTATGACCTCTGAAACGTTGGTTAACATCGACCAGACTACACAGCGCAATAACCCAGAAGACGGATATCTTCTACCAGACTACATGGCGCATGGGTTAGAAGACAAACATCTTGAGACTCACTGCCGTGAAAACTTCAAATCCTACAGAGTACGACCTGAATTAGTTTGGCGAAGCCAAAATTTGTTTGTTTTATTTGACAGTGCCTCACACAATACAGTACTTTTCATGACAACATGTCTAGGTCATTCTTTTTGTAGAGCTTAAGTTACACCTGACGTGCAATTTCTAGAGATTGCTGTTGCAGAAAATTATTTACAACTCTTTATTCTGTCAGATTGCTTTTAAAACACTGTAAATACTAGCAAATTGATCTGCGATTTATCTAGCACCTAATGCAATTGAATAGGCTGTGTGTTAAGGGATTTTAGGTTCTCACAGTGGTGAGTATGATCTGGATTTTGATGTCATGTAGACTCTTAGCTAGATACCAGCATTTCAGAGAAACATACTGTCTCCACATTCAGAGGAATCTTGCAGCAAGCCAGTTTCCTTTTTGACATTGCCATGGAAACATATTTTACTCAATAGAATATATTGAATTTATAAATGTAATAAGTTGAAATATGTTGTTTTTTGTTTTCATATTTTGACCCACTATTCTTATCCCTTTTTCTTATGCATAACAATTTTATATTATTACTTTTAAATTTACTGTTACCCTCTTTTATACTTTGTACAAGAATTTTATCATTGTTCCAAGTGAATTATTTAATCTGAAATAAAAAGTGTTGTCGTGTAGAGATAATGGAGCTACATTTATATAAACATAAAACAACTCTCCTTCAAGCAGTAATTTCCATACCTTGTTAAATGTAAAGTTAAGCAAGTATCTTCATACTCACTGCTGTGAAAACCTCAAATCTTACAAAAGAAACTTTCATCTTCAAAATGATGCAGATAGCAAATGCAGTGTACTTAGAACTTTATACCCAAACCGGTCGAAGGAAAACTGAACGTCTTCTCGGGTAAATATTTTTACATGCCTCAGGTAGTTGCCACTAGTTTTGAAAATGATTTCCCCACAACAGAGGAGTTGGTGTGTTCTGCAGTTACGGAAGGAGTTCGTTACAACTGTGCAATGCGCATTTTGTACACAATTCCACGTGGAACTACACATTCAAGTATCAATTTACGTCTATTATAACATATTCGAATCACAACTTCCCGTCGTACCTGGTGAAAACCTTCTCGTCCTATCTTGCTGGCCGGACATTAAAAACGTCCTTCTAGTCGGCCACGTCCACACGTCTTGTCATATGCTCCATTGATAACTAAAGCTGCTCTGTCCCATTCATGCAACCTGCAGGCCGTTATTCAGGTACTGATTGAGAGTTTTGAGTCTTTCAAAGAAAACGCAGGGACAGGCCACACGAATCCATTCCTTCATCCATCGCTTTACATTTGGAGTTGAAGCGTTACGTGAAGACGACACTCTTAGATAAATGACTGTTCTGAAAATATATTTGTTTCTCAAATGCAGTGTTTACTCATTCCAAGTCGAAACCGTGAGTGTGGCACCTCGAAAATGTTTTCGTATGCGTTTAAGAAGGAAGCTGTAGTGTATTTTGTGAAAGAGTCCTCGCTTTGCTGATGCCAGAGAAACTTTGTTTATTCTGACAAAAGGAACAAAGACGTTCAGGCGGAATTTGTACAGTTGACATAATTCTGCCTGCCTTTGTTAACAAAAGACCAATTTACCAACAAGGCTGATAAGATTATGAAGATTGCTGGCTTGAAATCAATTTTACGTTAATTACTTGAATAATGCTTCTGAGAACGATGAATTGTAAAACTGCTGCAGTTGCGATGGAAATAGCTGGAACTGATAGGTACATATACGATAATATCCATTTATCTGTCGCACTGCTCTGAGGACCACCAAGTGACGCAGACCAAACAGTCAACATGAAGATGCAAGTCGTGAAGTTATGTTGCCACCTACATGTAGATATTTTTGGTTAGTAAACAAGAATCCTATCCGGTGGGTACCGGGGTTCTTTCCCGGGGGTAAAAAGCGGCCAGGGCGTGATGCTGACGACCCTTCTCTTGCCGAGGTCAAGAATGAGTAGGAGCTATACCGCCTCCCCCCAAGCGCCTACATGGCGTATATGTGCATATTGCCTGTGTAATATAACGATATTATTGTCCTGCAAATGCAACGACTGTCGAAACGTAATATTCGACGCGGCTTATCCGAAGCCAAAGTACAATAACTCGAAATTCCTTGTAGTGTTCCAAACAAGTATTTTTACTACACAGTGGATGGTAGATTGTAATGAGTGTTTTGGTAATGCGTCGAATCATTGGCGTTGTACTAACCGTTATATGAAATTCATTCGTTATTTACTTTTCAATGAACCGCACAAACATGGCGGATTTGTTTGCCACCGATAAATGATTCCAATACTAGGTCTAATTAATACATTATAAACGGATTTCTTAATGATTTAAAAGTAGAAATTAAACACTATATAAACATTTCTTATTTTATATAGAACATTATTTCCACACATTCAGTGATATTATAATATTGACCTAACTCGACTTTCATTGCTGCCTAATATGGCATAGTGTGGTTTGGTAGTTATATGTTAGTGTCTAAAGTATGAACGCTAATGACAATTCATATTTAGAAATTTGTTTCGCTGGAAATTTAATGTTAATACTAGAAATAGCCTGCTGCAAGAGAAAGGTATATCGATTTATTTGCATGGTTTATGCAAAGGACGTGGCACCACTGTACATTTCTGCTTTGAATCGAATGCCATCGTCGGGAAATTTCCCACGAGAGCAGTCTAAGGTTGTGCTTACGTGTAGTCATTTGTAGGCCATCTGTATGTTAAAATTGTGAAAGGTGAGTAGCAAAATACAGAATACATAGCTGTAATTATATGTCGTATTTCGGAATTATGTGTGAAATGTTTATGGGGTCAAGAAGTATCATATACAATAATAAAGTAGGTAATGACAGAATACAATTGAGGCGATGTACGAATAAATTATTTGGATGAGTTTTGTATGAGGTATATTTTTGTTCAGGAAATTTCTAGTCAAGGTGTTGGTGTCAAGGGGCGACGATTTTTTTTTTAACTGTGTTTCCATGTAACGTCATCAGACGCGACGTTGCCTCATCTATATACATAGTTAAATATATGTAATGATCGCATGTCATGCCTCCCAGTGGCGTTAACGCAGCTCTCCCAGTGTCTATTGAAAAGAACCGCCCACATCTCAAATCCTCCGTGGACACTGTTGACAACCCTCCAGCAGATGTCACACCTTCCAGCTCCACTGCCCCTTGTGCCTCACCGCCTCAACACCACACCAGCCTGCCACTAAGATCTGGCAATCACTAAACTTGAAGCGTGAGCTGACCGTCTGAAAACGTATGAGAAATGGTCCATCTTGTTCAGGACCCACATTCTCTGTCAGCTGCTGGCTTTTACTACAAGAACCAGGGTGATGTGGTTGCAGTGTGCCTTTTGTGGAGTTCAGGTGGGACACTGGGAGGAAAGAGATGACCCCTTCACAGATCATCAGCGCTGGGCCCCATTCTGTGGGTTTGTTAGAGGGTTGCCAGTTGGAAACATTCCCATCAATTCTGATGGCCACCCTGAGAAACAAGAGAGTCGTGACTATGTCTGTGGACCATCCCTGGAGTTTAGGCCGAATTCTGGCTCGGAGCAAGGTGCGTTGCATGGCTTACACTTCAGACTGCTGCTGGTTGCTTGTCAAACTGGACACAGCTTTGAAATTTGTTTGTTGTTGCAGCTGTCAGCAGTGGGGTGCATCACAACCTTTTGACACCAGAGGAGCTGCAGAAGCATGGCATCAACCAGAGCTGTGGCCCAATGCACCCATCTCACAACACATGATTCACGTGTACGGTCATATGAGAACTGGCCTCGCTCCCTCAAACAGAAGCCAGACAAACTGAGTCAGGTTTCTATTACACGGGTAAGTCATGGCTGGTGTGTTTACCATAGCATGGCATTGGTTGGTTAAAATGTGGGGACTAAATGTTTATTTATATGAATAGGATTATCACTCATACATGCAGTTTGGTATTCTGGAAGACTAAAGTGTGCTGGTATAAGTTAAGACAGTATGCTTTAGCTCCTTCAGTGTTACCTATGGACAAGAGTACAGCGTACTGTACTGTCGAGCTTTTATAGCTGTAGATATACTTAAGCTCTTTATGAGAGCAGAATAGTGATAAAACCAGTGCAGCCGGATGTAAATGTTGATGGTGTGGTGATGTTTGGAAACTGTGTTAGTTTTTATTTTATTGAAATATTGATAGCAGTTGACCCATTCCCATTGATTGCATTCTGATCTGGGCAAGGCAGTCTTTGTATTGTACTGGTGTGTATTGCCTTCCACTTAGTTTCCAGTTTTTCTAAAGTAAACTGAGAGACACGAGAAGAGTGGCCACTTAATTGTCTTTGAGGGCACTGTATTCAAGCTCGTTTGATGTAGCAGTGTCTCTGTGCAGGCAGGTAAGGGAGACCAAACAGTATGTTTCATCTGCGGTGGAAGACTCAAAGACTGGGAGGAGATGGATGATCCATGGGTTGAACATGCAGTGTTGTTTCCCAAGTGTATGTATGTTGTGCTGAACAAGGGGCGGGAATTCATTCAAGAATGTCGTTAGCCAAAGGAAGCTAATGTTCCAGTCCAGGTGAGTATCTGGGAAAATGTTTGTTTTAAGGAAATCAGTAATGGCTACTTGCTTCTGAGCCACCTCCGTTTTCTCTGTGGCAAGGTAATGCCAATATTTGAACAGTGGTATGCCTGTAGTATCAACTGAGTACATAAAATATATGAAAGATTCATGGTAGGGGTGTATTATTCATTCTGCTACGTGCAGACCTGGCTGTTGATGAAATTGAGTGTTCCGACATGGCACGTCCGATAACTGTAGGTGGGTTAATTGGGACTCTACTGTAGTTTGTTGTGTTTGCAGTATGGTTTTGCATAGCATCTTGTAATTGGCTCATTCTGCATAATTTACTTCAAAATTTCTATTCTTATTTGCAGAACCGGTGTATGAAGCTGCATATTTATGTTTGTCACACCAAACTTGACATGTGTCAGCATAAGAGTATTTGTGTTGACGTAAATACGTCTATATTTTCAGGTCAGTGTCATTCCGCAAAAAGTGAAACGAAAAAGTGAAACTGCATTGTTATGTTACCTTGGAAACTTCAATTGTTTACTCGGCATTATTGGTACCAAGGAAACGTCATCTGTTTACTTAGCATTGTTGTTACCTATAAAACATTTCATTACATTACCTTACATTACCTTACCTTACCTTACCTTACCTTACCTTACCTTACCTTACCTTACCTTACCTTACCTTACCTTACCTTACCTTACCTTACCTTACCTTACCTTACCTTACCTTACCTTACCTTACCTTACCTTACCTTACCTTACCTTACCTTACCTTACCTTACCTTACCTTACCTTACCTTACCTTACCTTACCTTACCTTACCTTACCTTACCTTACCTTACCTTACCTTACCTTACCTTACCTTACCTTACCTTACCTTACCTTACCTTACCTTACCTTACCTTACCTTACCTTACCTTACCTTACCTTACCTTACCTTACCTTACCTTACCTTACCTTACCTTACCTTACCTTACCTTACCTTACCTTACCTTACCTTACCTTACCTTACCTTACCTTACCTTACCTTACCTTACCTTACCTTACCTTACCTTACCTTACCTTACCTTACCTTACCTTACCTTACCTTACCTTACCTTACCTTACCTTACCTTACCTTACCTTACCTTACCTTACCTTACCTTACCTTACCTTACCTTACCTTACCTTACCTTACCTTACCTTACCTTACCTTACCTTACCTTACCTTACCTTACCTTACCTTACCTTACCTTACCTTACCTTACCTTACCTTACCTTACCTTACCTTACCTTACCTTACCTTACCTTACCTTACCTTACCTTACCTTACCTTACCTTACCTTACCTTACCTTACCTTACCTTACCTTACCTTACCTTACCTTACCTTACCTTACCTTACCTTACCTTACCTTACCTTACCTTACCTTACCTTACCTTACCTTACCTTACCTTACCTTACCTTACCTTACCTTACCTTACCTTACCTTACCTTACCTTACCTTACCTTACCTTACCTTACCTTACCTTACCTTACCTTACCTTACCTTACCTTACCTTACCTTACCTTACCTTACCTTACCTTACCTTACCTTACCTTACCTTACCTTACCTTACCTTACCTTACCTTACCTTACCTTACCTTACCTTACCTTACCTTACCTTACCTTACCTTACCTTACCTTACCTTACCTTACCTTACCTTACCTTACCTTACCTTACCTTACCTTACCTTACCTTACCTTACCTTACCTTACCTTACCTTACCTTACCTTACCTTACCTTACCTTACCTTACCTTACCTTACCTTACCTTACCTTACCTTACCTTACCTTACCTTACCTTACCTTACCTTACCTTACCTTACCTTACCTTACCTTACCTTACCTTACCTTACCTTACCTTACCTTACCTTACCTTACCTTACCTTACCTTACCTTACCTTACCTTACCTTACCTTACCTTACCTTACCTTACCTTACCTTACCTTACCTTACCTTACCTTACCTTACCTTACCTTACCTTACCTTACCTTACCTTACCTTACCTTACCTTACCTTACCTTACCTTACCTTACCTTACCTTACCTTACCTTACCTTACCTTACCTTACCTTACCTTACCTTACCTTACCTTACCTTACCTTACCTTACCTTACCTTACCTTACCTTACCTTACCTTACCTTACCTTACCTTACCTTACCTTACCTTACCTTACCTTACCTTACCTTACCTTACCTTACCTTACCTTACCTTACCTTACCTTACCTTACCTTACCTTACCTTACCTTACCTTACCTTACCTTACCTTACCTTACCTTACCTTACCTTACCTTACCTTACCTTACCTTACCTTACCTTACCTTACCTTACCTTACCTTACCTTACCTTACCTTACCTTACCTTACCTTACCTTACCTTACCTTACCTTACCTTACCTTACCTTACCTTACCTTACCTTACCTTACCTTACCTTACCTTACCTTACCTTACCTTACCTTACCTTACCTTACCTTACCTTACCTTACCTTACCTTACCTTACCTTACCTTACCTTACCTTACCTTACCTTACCTTACCTTACCTTACCTTACCTTACCTTACCTTACCTTACCTTACCTTACCTTACCTTACCTTACCTTACCTTACCTTACCTTACCTTACCTTACCTTACCTTACCTTACCTTACCTTACCTTACCTTACCTTACCTTACCTTACCTTACCTTACCTTACCTTACCTTACCTTACCTTACCTTACCTTACCTTACCTTACCTTACCTTACCTTACCTTACCTTACCTTACCTTACCTTACCTTACCTTACCTTACCTTACCTTACCTTACCTTACCTTACCTTACCTTACCTTACCTTACCTTACCTTACCTTACCTTACCTTACCTTACCTTACCTTACCTTACCTTACCTTACCTTACCTTACCTTACCTTACCTTACCTTACCTTACCTTACCTTACCTTACCTTACCTTACCTTACCTTACCTTACCTTACCTTACCTTACCTTACCTTACCTTACCTTACCTTACCTTACCTTACCTTACCTTACCTTACCTTACCTTACCTTACCTTACCTTACCTTACCTTACCTTACCTTACCTTACCTTACCTTACCTTACCTTACCTTACCTTACCTTACCTTACCTTACCTTACCTTACCTTACCTTACCTTACCTTACCTTACCTTACCTTACCTTACCTTACCTTACCTTACCTTACCTTACCTTACCTTACCTTACCTTACCTTACCTTACCTTACCTTACCTTACCTTACCTTACCTTACCTTACCTTACCTTACCTTACCTTACCTTACCTTACCTTACCTTACCTTACCTTACCTTACCTTACCTTACCTTACCTTACCTTACCTTACCTTACCTTACCTTACCTTACCTTACCTTACCTTACCTTACCTTACCTTACCTTACCTTACCTTACCTTACCTTACCTTACCTTACCTTACCTTACCTTACCTTACCTTACCTTACCTTACCTTACCTTACCTTACCTTACCTTACCTTACCTTACCTTACCTTACCTTACCTTACCTTACCTTACCTTACCTTACCTTACCTTACCTTACCTTACCTTACCTTACCTTACCTTACCTTACCTTACCTTACCTTACCTTACCTTACCTTAGCTGCAGAAGCATGGCATCAACCAGAGCTGTGGCCCAATGCACCCATCTCACAACACATGATTCACGTGTACGGTCATATGAGAACTGGCCTCGCTCCCTCAAACAGAAGCCAGACAAACTGAGTCAGGTTTCTATTACACGGGTAAGTCATGGCTGGTGTGTTTACCATAGCATGGCATTGGTTGGTTAAAATGTGGGGACTAAATGTTTATTTATATGAATAGGATTATCACTCATACATGCAGTTTGGTATTCTGGAAGACTAAAGTGTGCTGGTATAAGTTAAGACAGTATGCTTTAGCTCCTTCAGTGTTACCTATGGACAAGAGTACAGCGTACTGTACTGTCGAGCTTTTATAGCTGTAGATATACTTAAGCTCTTTATGAGAGCAGAATAGTGATAAAACCAGTGCAGCCGGATGTAAATGTTGATGGTGTGGTGATGTTTGGAAACTGTGTTAGTTTTTATTTTATTGAAATATTGATAGCAGTTGACCCATTCCCATTGATTGCATTCTGATCTGGGCAAGGCAGTCTTTGTATTGTACTGGTGTGTATTGCCTTCCACTTAGTTTCCAGTTTTTCTAAAGTAAACTGAGAGACACGAGAAGAGTGGCCACTTAATTGTCTTTGAGGGCACTGTATTCAAGCTCGTTTGATGTAGCAGTGTCTCTGTGCAGGCAGGTAAGGGAGACCAAACAGTATGTTTCATCTGCGGTGGAAGACTCAAAGACTGGGAGGAGATGGATGATCCATGGGTTGAACATGCAGTGTTGTTTCCCAAGTGTATGTATGTTGTGCTGAACAAGGGGCGGGAATTCATTCAAGAATGTCGTTAGCCAAAGGAAGCTAATGTTCCAGTCCAGGTGAGTATCTGGGAAAATGTTTGTTTTAAGGAAATCAGTAATGGCTACTTGCTTCTGAGCCACCTCCGTTTTCTCTGTGGCAAGGTAATGCCAATATTTGAACAGTGGTATGCCTGTAGTATCAACTGAGTACATAAAATATATGAAAGATTCATGGTAGGGGTGTATTATTCATTCTGCTACGTGCAGACCTGGCTGTTGATGAAATTGAGTGTTCCGACATGGCACGTCCGATAACTGTAGGTGGGTTAATTGGGACTCTACTGTAGTTTGTTGTGTTTGCAGTATGGTTTTGCATAGCATCTTGTAATTGGCTCATTCTGCATAATTTACTTCAAAATTTCTATTCTTATTTGCAGAACCGGTGTATGAAGCTGCATATTTATGTTTGTCACACCAAACTTGACATGTGTCAGCATAAGAGTATTTGTGTTGACGTAAATACGTCTATATTTTCAGGTCAGTGTCATTCCGCAAAAAGTGAAACGAAAAAGTGAAACTGCATTGTTATGTTACCTTGGAAACTTCAATTGTTTACTCGGCATTATTGGTACCAAGGAAACGTCATCTGTTTACTTAGCATTGTTGTTACCTATAAAACATTTCATTACATTACCTTACATTACCTTACCTTACCTTACCTTACCTTACCTTACCTTACCTTACCTTACCTTACCTTACCTTACCTTACCTTACCTTACCTTACCTTACCTTACCTTACCTTACCTTACCTTACCTTACCTTACCTTACCTTACCTTACCTTACCTTACCTTACCTTACCTTACCTTACCTTACCTTACCTTACCTTACCTTACCTTACCTTACCTTACCTTACCTTACCTTACCTTACCTTACATTTCATTACACTACATTACCTTACCTTACCTTACATTACCTTACATTACATTACATTACCTTATAAACTTTCTTTCCGTATAGACGTATTTACGTCAAATTCTCCGGAACGGTGGTTCCACTGGCAACTTTTTCATGTGTGAAGAATAAGATTTAGTTTTTACTAGAACATTATGATCGCACACATACGCATCTAGTACCACATTTCACTGAATTCTCTGTTTTAATGTTCACGTTAGTGGTATATGCTGATGTTCCGGGTTGTGGGTAGCATCTCTTTGTAAGATAAGAGTTGAAACCAGTCATAACATAAGCAGAAGTATGTTTCTGTGGCTATAACATTTCTCACTGTGATGAGTTCTCTGGCCTTAGGGTAAGACAACAGACACCATTCAGAAGGTCCTGGGTTTGATCATATTTCTGTGCTCATTTTTTTTTGGTCACTGAATCCTACCTTTCTGCCACATAAATTTTGGGGAAGTGGGGTTTACCAGGTCAAGATGTGTTTCAAAGCCAGTGTTAAACCTTCTGCCAGTACCATCTGTATAAATCACTATTATTGGAGATAAGAGAATCCATTGATTTTGGAAATTAATTTTAAGACTTGCGTGAGTATGGCAGAGGAAAGTTACCATAAAAATCCCTGTGGACATTCGGTGTCAGCCAACATTTCTCAGCTATATTCAGTATTTTGCTTGCACATAAGTTTTCTTGTTCTTCAGTTCATTCAACCCAGAAAATTATCATGTATGTACAAGTTCATTATCTTGAAATGTTCTGTCTCTGGATGTAGAAACCGCTATGAAGTTTTATGTCTGCCTGTGTTATAGTCGTTTGAGATGGTATCACATTTTCGT